GTGTGACCCTAGAGCTAGTGGCTTGCGAAGAATGTCCAAGTGGACAGGGTTCTTCGAGCAGCTTAGTCCCTGTTCGCATTGGATTCCGACTTGAAGATGGCCACCGAACAGAATGGAGTGGCCCTTCACATTCAAGCATTTGGAGCATTCTTGAGACTCTTGCTACCCAAGATGAAAGGTTTGTATTTTGGTAGTTGTTGCGTAAGGTTCTATTGGACGTTCCAACTTAAAGCAATGTATAAAAACGTTACCTATTCTTTGGCATGGTGATGGTCATCTTTGAATTCCACATTTAAGTGTTGATTTCTACTATTCGTTACGTCCTTATTTAGAATCGCCTCAATGCTCCAAGTAACTCCCGAAGGCCTCGTTCCAACAATTATTTATATACAACAACAGGTGAGTTGCTTTAAATTGAGAATGTATCATGAATCCCACTCCTTTGTTTTATTACCGTTTTCTCATTTAGATTGGCGGAGAACAGGCTCTTCGTGAGACGACCATTGAAAGTCTAGGAATTCGGGGCCCAGTTCTGTTTAAGCTAGACCATAGACCACCACCGCCCCCGTCTAACAAGTCGGCTAAACTTACTGCTTCAGCCCAATCTTCAGTTGCAACCGTTCCCACCTCCACCGGTATGCCTTCGTTTGATCTGATTGTAGTACTGTTGATATCTTTTGGCCGCCTTGATTTAAGCCTAGAGTCTGTCGGTGCAATTAGACCCGAGGGCAAAATTCGGATAGCCACATAATTCCCTTCAAATTTTAATATTAATACTATTGTGGGGAATCCAGTGGATTGATGACCGTCAACATGATTCATGCATGACCGCTTCCCATGTTTACTCACCTACTGAGCCACTTGACCCCAACTCTGTGTCCACCTTAATGAACTCCAGTGTTTATCTTGGACTCTCTCTGCATGTGTAAACAACTTCCTTCAAGACTTCGTGTCAGCATGCCTATCACTCATACCATTACCGCTTCTGAGCTACAAATACACATGCTCAAACACGACACGACACATCAGCTTTATCGGTTTTATAGATGGTTGAAACTGCCGTTTTTTCTTGCCCCGAACTCTTAAAGTCCTCCTGTGCCACTATACTGTTGCCTGCAACTTTTTTAGATTTGTGTAATGCTAAGTATATCGTAATTCAATTTGGAATTACAATTTGCATTATTTACCTTTACGCAACCTTTTTGCCGTCAACATTTGTGGTGGTGCAATGCGGTAGGGGTCTCAAAGTTGCTTTGGTGTTCCTATCGTTTCATGTTCCCAATTGAGAGTACCTCCTCTGTTCCGTTGACGTCTCCTTTATATTCCTTCGATTCCTCCTCTCTTTGTGTGCTCAGTGTGTCAATCTGACTTAATAATATAGTTGTTTTAAACGTTAATTGTTTACGTTGGCGATATTTCATTCCATGCTAATCTTCCTAGCCTTAAATTTCGGCTTCTCACTGATCTGTCTTGTGAGACTTCGTACGCTAGTGCACCTGATTCACGACACTGAATTTCTCTCTTCTCAAAGCACCTTCCACATCATCTGCAAGAACGGATAACTTGGTACCACAATCTTCGTCTGCAGCTAGTCAACTTACCTACAGTCAACACCTCCCTCAGGGCGAATCTGCTTCCATCATATTCCCTCCAGAGGCCGGTGGAAGCCTCAGCAATGAACCCTTCTCCATCTTCGGCACTCGTCCTGCTCGTTCCATATTTGACTCCAGCGCGCCTGCTCAACGCAAGTATGAGAGGGTACGAATTGCATGACGTTGATTACTCCTAACATTTCAATCTTCACTTAGTCCGGAAGCTTATATTGTGTAAAACTGATAGCCCTCCACCTTGATCAAGTGTCCGTTTTTGTTCCTAGCGTATGTCTTAGTCAATTTTTAGTTTATTTGCGGCACTTTTCGAGTGATTTGTTATTTTAGTCGTGGTGATTTAGTTAAACTGACCCGCATTTCTAAAGCGAGCAACTTTTGGTTAGTCCTGAGTGACTGATGAGACTAGGTTTGTGCATATCGTGTAGTATTCCGAAGAAATCCTATGCTTATTGAAGAAAAAGAGTCCAAGTGGCGCCCATTGTCTGCAAACCGATGCTTGTTTTAACCAAAAGCTTCAATCCTGTTTCGAAGTTATTCCCTAACTTCATGTCTTTCCTGGAGTAGAACTCCTAATCGAAGTAGAGCGTTTTCGGGACTCTACCTTGCCATTGGTGCGACGGATGTTTGTCAATGTTCGTTGCCCACCGTGACCCTGCGCCATCAAGGATTTGGGTCGCTTTATTTCCCAGTGACATTAATTGATCTGGGCTTCCGGTGTGCAAGTTTTGTTCCAGTTCCGGTGGTACCTTTATTCGTTTCACTTATTTATAGCCCTTAACTATTGGAGAATTGATTGGAGTGAATTTAGAACCCGATGACGAAACGACCTCCCAGCGAGCTACAGTACCGGAACACCTCCGCAATTTTAGGGTATGTTATCCTGGTCAGAAAAGCCTCATTTTGTCAAAATTCCACTAACGCCATGTTTTATGCTAGTTTCCAACTGAAACCGAGGGGCAGAATTTGATGGACACCGATGATACGTAAGTAGATTCCGGCATTTCAATGTTTTTTTACCAATTTAAGGGAATATTTTGATGTTGTCATGGTGTTGGTGTATGCCTTTTGAAAAAGTCGAGACATCTACTCGAAATGACCTCTGTCTCAGTTGCATGTGCGAAAATTGGGGCCTCTTGTTTAAAATATCTGTAAAGTTTCATGAATATAATCCCCCATTTTTTTTCCAACGATGGCTTCCCAGCCTTTAATCGTTCCATCGTATCATCGAGTACGTGCCACAAAGGCTTCCTGGTCTGTATTCACAAAGTAGCCTCAATGACCTATCGCACCAGTCTAAGCCAATTGACTTCAACGTTGGTTGAAAACCTGGAGTAGCCACGTTTGCCTCACTGAACTGAGCTCCCACGTGTCGCATACGTTGTCCCCAGGTTAGCTGGAGAATAGGACTTGGGTCGTGGGTGTAAACCTTAAATAAAATCAAATCTTCGTCGGGAGTAATGATGACATTTTGGCGAAAGCCTCTTGAATACGCAAACGTGATTGACAGTCAGAGTTTTGTTTACTGACGTGTTGCTAACACGGTGCTAAGATGGGTATACTTGCTTAAACACGTTCAATCTATGAGGCATTTTAATTTGTGCGTTCCCGGAACCAGCCGGTGTCGGCTAGAATAAATGGTGAACGTGGGTGTCGATTTAGGTGATCTGATTCCCCGTGTGTCTTTATTGCTCGACCTTTTAGACCGGGGACTTCTAACTACGGGTGTTCTCCGTGTGAACGTGAGGACTTGATCTTTCAGAGAATCACCACAGAAACAATCGACACTGGCCCAGGTAAGCGGCAGGAGGCTTTGGCCTTTATTCCTAATTATAAAAATTAATATGTAATCACAAGTCATATTGTGCATGTTTAACTTATGTCCATTTCGTTGTTATTTGTTGTTGTTGTTGTACAAGAGCTGCCGGACGAATTTTTCCAACTCACGGAGAACGAACTGCGCCGGATTATTGCCGACCTTCGGAAAGCTGCGTGAGTTGTGTTCTTTTTTCCCATTCATTACTGACCCTTCAGTTTCTCTTAACATTAGATACTTCTAGGTCTTGTATTTTTGCTTAAAACAAGTTCCGTGTCGTACTTCATTTGTTTGACTCGTATCAGAAGCGGGCCATTAAACGTGGACCGAGTTTTCTGTACGGCATTTGTCGTGTTTTTTGTACTTGAAGTGTTCATGCTATAACAAAACATTAAGTAACGTGTGAGATTGGGCATAAAACAGCAATCTTCTGTCTTGAACTCGATGAATTAACTTTGGACACTTCGGTCCCACCGAACTACTAAAACATGCGCTCTGTGCACACTGCTTAGAATTTTAGAACTTAGATGCCTCTGGAAGCTATGTGCGTTTGCTAACAAGTGAATGGAATTGTTGTTTGCGGTACTGCCTGTCACTATTTGAGATTTTTTTAATATCTAGGGGTACAGATGCTGTTCTTGGCGAACAAAACATCCAGAGTGCTGCGAGGAGGCGACTCTACTCACGTTACCCTCGGTGTATCATCAAGTTCATCTGGTCCGACGATGTTGTTCTCCAGGCGTGCTTCAAACCACTGGAAAATGGTAATTTCGAACATCGCGCGCGCTCTCTAGAGATGACCTGATTGGCTATTTCTGTCACACCGAAGATTTCATTTACTTAGGTTTTGTTATGAATTTCTTGACACATTTGTCATGTGTTATGCGCATTGACTTGCTTCCTATGCCCGTGGATTGGTTAAAAGGTAATTGAATAAATACCAGGCGTACGTACGTTTTAGACTTTAGTTTTTGGTTCAAGGCAAAGTGTTAAATCGGTTGTCAACATTAAAATCGTGATTTTCGAATAAATTTTTCGGCTGCAAAGTAGTCCGCTTCCTTGCATCAAATATTGTCTTGAAATACCATCCTTTTTTAACTTTTTCCCGATTTTAGTATCAGCTCTCTACGAATTTATTCGGGACCGGCTTGCTGACACATCGGTCGACTTTCAGCTGTGTATGTTTCCAACACATTTGGGTTTTCTTAGTTTTCTTGAATTTTATCGCAAACTTGTCTTCTTTCTTCTTACTACAGTCACAACCCCTCCAAGAGTCAACCTCTCTAATATGTCCCACTCTCTCATAGAGGTGAGTCACGTCTGTAACGCTCGTTAAAACTTTACCCCAATGCAAAACACCCCTCCTCTCCAATCACCTCTTGTTTCGCCTTGCCGTAGCCACTACCGACGTCTGTGGTGTTTCATCAGCGCGTACTCCGCCCTCCCCATGCTCAGTGTGGCAGCGTGACGCCATGTAAATGCTATGTCTTGTACAAACTATCCCCGAAATATTGGGCTTTTGAATTGAATGTTCGGGAGTGTTTAGTTTTTTCCACGCTACCCGAAGCAATGTCTGAGGGAAGTTTGTATTACTCCCTACATGATGGTCGTTCTCATCAAAAATGCTGGTCACAGATATTACCACTATTAAAGAGCATTTTTGATGGCGGTGATGACATGCTATCCACTCGTGAAGGGGCCTTTTGATTTGAGACAATTTGTGAAAGGTGGCATGCACTCGAAGAACGTGTTCACTCACACAAATGTTTACTCGGCGACGGTTCCCCTGCCAATTCCCTTCACCTTGGACCCAACGATGGATGCAGAAGTGGCGTAATTTGTCCCCAAATGTGGCATTTTAAGTAGGTTGGGGATCTGGCTTCAATGAAACCTACTTCTTATTCCTTTGCTGACATACTAACTCAACTCACAGATAGTGCAAAATATGAAGGTCACGCCTCTCTGAGGCCAGAAGTCCCTTCCAACTGGTCTGCTGACCAATCACCGCGCGTTTCGGGAGACTTGTGGCTTCTTTTCTCTATGATAATTATTTGTGCCCATTTTAATTGAGTAAATCTGCTTTTTAGGCGCAGCTTTTTCCCATGGCTATCGTTCATATGACAACGCGCAACGGGTCTCCCAAGGCTCGAGACAGTAAGTAGCCTTAATAGGATCGTAATAGCTATACAACGGGACTGCATAATTTACTTATTCACTGTCACCATTCGCAAATAGGCTGCCTCACTCAATGTATTCGCCTGCTAACCAAATTCATCATCGACTTATAGTGATTTTAAGTCTCTGTCCACTTCTTCTGGATTTTCAGTTTAAATTACTAGTGGTATAGTGGTGGAGTTGTGCTCTTGAGAGGTGCTTGTTGTGACATGATACGGCGCAGAGAACCCAGAAATAAAAAAAAATTCTGGAAGTGAGAAGGCTGAACCATTTATTAGAGCAGTGTACATGCGTCTTGTTATGTCTGTTGGGTCGTTGTGCTTACGCGTTCGTACCTGAGCACAGGACGGCCATGACTGATAAGGGTTAGCAACCAATGCGGTGTAAATATTTGAATAATAAGGTAGGTGGTACGATTGACGACAAGGTGTGTACGCACGGGATAAGCGCACGCGGGGAGGGGGTGAATTAACAAGGCATCTGGACAAGCGTCGATTCAGCACCAACCACCGTAAACTGTCGGTTCTTATTGTTAAGGAACTTTTGCCACAATCCATCGTATATTCTCTATGCTGTTTTACCATACTCTGCTTCTCGCCACATCTCTTAACACCTGACAGAGGAGCTCTATGCTGTGAATGGTCAGCCTCTTGTGAATTGCACTAAGGTCTTTTAGGAGTAGACATCTTACAAACGATTGAGGAGCTACTGAAGTTGGATAAGTATTTACGTGAAACTTACCGCATGTTTTAGTACTGCGTCCCGACGTTCTTGAAGCCATTAACACCAAGTCTGCAGCCCAAGCCAATGAAATAACATCAAAATGGTAAGAATCTTTTTCAAACTGGCATATGTTGGAGTGTTGCTTTTTTTAAAAATTTCATTCACATGTCACTGCTAAGTGGGCAAGCTACGGGCGGGACGTGGGTCCAGAGTGTCTACTTAAAACGAATTCCACTCTTGAAATGGTTTTAGCAAGCTGGTAAGCGAGTTCTCTCGGAACTCGGTCGTAATACGTGTGAAACAATCCGTCCTTACAGTATGCTGCAGCTGTTATGCACCTGTGCTTATCCAATCACCAATATGCTGCGTAGTTTTGTTCTTGTAAAACAACAGGGGTATATGCAGTTAAAATAAAGCAGTTATCCAGTCTGCGGACCTGGCTAGCGGCAATTTCGTTACCTGTCATCAATCCGTGCCTTATGAAATCACTTGGATGTATTTCGTTCACTAATTTTTCAGGATGGCGAGGAAAGCGAGTTCCTAATGCCGCTCAATTCAACACGTCTACGGCATCAACCACCGTAAACTGTTGGTTCTTATTGTTCACATTACTTTGCGTACATAATATAGGAACTTTGCCACAATTCTTCGTATTTTCTCCGTGCTTCCGTGGTCCATATTGGTGTTGATCAACCCCATTGATATAGTTTGATGTATGAACGCCCTGTTTATCTGAGGATATTTTGGATATAGGCATTTTTCCGCAACTACTGAAAGTGTACCTGGCGTTTTTAAAGATTCCACAGTGTTATGCTGTTAATTTCTACCGGTGGGCTTAGAGGTGGATCCTGCGCAAGGATCAGCCAGGCTAGCTGCAAAAAGTTCGTCGCTCAGCTAAGCCTATTTGTGTTTCTGCAAATTTATTTGGCCTGCGACTGGTTAATTTGGAAGCACACACTAAGTTATTTGTATTCAGGGGAGACGCACGTACGATTTCCCGACTTACATCAGTAACGAGGCCGGCGTAGATCCTATTGACATCCAGTACAGTAAAACACGACCGTGCCAACAAAAAATGAAGTTGAAGTTGCTTTTGCAACGACACAGTTGTGAGTCTAACGGAATAATTTAACAATTAGTTCCCGTAGCCGACGGTCAGTCGCGAAGACGAAGAGTGACAGTGCAAAACATTAGAAGAAAGCAAACTTGATCTTCTCTAAACATTTTGTTGGTGGTTAAGATATGAGAACCGGCGGGAGGGTGGGCAAGCAAAATTTTTTGCAGTTTTGTATTGGCTTATCTACTGACAAGTATACCCAATGAATTAGTAGTAGAATGGACTAGGCGGTATAGCCAATGACTGTGCGGAAATCGACATTTCGAGTCGTGAAGGTGATTGCAATACAAACAACGGGTGCACCCTTACCCTCGTAAACAAAGAGAACACGAAGTTAGGAAAGCTGTATGTTTAGTACAATAACACTTATAAGGCGTTAGATACAGACGGATTTATGAACGAATGCATGGCACGACTTTGGCGCCCGTCGAAAGACGTGGGTTGGAACCGAACTTTTTGTGGAACTGACCGCGGAGATAAGCAGAGGCCAACTGGGATATCAGTTGGACCTACAAGAGCGAGGACGGCTGGATTACAACACGTGAAAAAAATGCTATTACCGGCGAGATTGCATTTGACAATATAAAAATAACTTTAACGGGTGCCGTTCCGAACTGGATTTGAAACTTTCAAACAGTAGCAGGGTGTTAATGACTTCCAGACATAGTAAAATATAAGTTTCAGACTAGGATTAGAGGTGAAAAGAAAAGTACATAGGTTACGTGGTGCTTATGATTATGTATTGACACAAAAGCGTATAACTAAAGAATATTGAATTACTTCTGACATCGCTGTTAGTGACAATAAACAAAATTAATTCTGATCTTACTCTGACAACCCCAACCATGAGAGAAGCTGAGAAGTAGAAGTTTGCGTTGGAGGTGGAGGTGTGGAGCCACGTGAAGAAAAATAATGGAGCAAGTATTAAAGCCACCGTGACCATTACTCCAAGGACAAGCACATTCCTAAAATCTAAGTGGATAGAAAAAGTGAAGGGACAGGGAGCCAGGGAAATTAGTTAACAATTCAATACCACACATGGATACTAAATTAGCCTCCACCCGGCAGCTTGCAATGCTCAAAAAAGACTGATGGGAAATACACAGACACAGTACGTATTTTCTCGAAGTTTTTCAAAGTCAGTCTGACCAAGAACCAAAAGCTTCCGTCTTATCGTTAGGGCCGAAGGCAAAAGGCATGCTACAGAAATGGGTTTGGTGACAATTTGTGGTGCGAAACAGCTTGCACCGCAACATGGCTGCATAAATGAATTAAAGGATAGCTTAATTACTGATGATTAAAAACATGAGTGAGATAGAAGTGAGACGTACATTTGAAGAGATGGCGCCACTGCATTGCTATTGCAAGAGAGCATCCGAATTCTGACATGCTATTATATGGTTTAAGTACACCTGTTGTCATTGTCAAGAGGAGAGCCAAGAAGAGGGGGTCATCACTGCAAAAAAAATTAATTGAAGCACATCAGCCGTTTTAATTGCAATTAATACAACGAGAACTTACTAAAACCGGAGAAATAAGGCAAAACATGTACAGAATATGATGAGCTGCATTGTCCAAACAAAGAAGACGTTGAAGTGGGAAAACATTTCCACATACATGTACCAGAAGATGCCCAAGTTTGGAGTGGTATCGAGAGCATATATGCTGTAAAATCCAGAAGAAAATGTATAATAAATACGCAAAACAGAGAAAGGGTCCAAGTGACCATTACAGACTTGGAAAGGTAGCTGTGCTTCAAGAAATCCCAATTATGCTCAACAAAGTAGGTTGTCAAAAGAAGCCCGGTGAGGAAAAATACAAACATAGCAATGGACTGCAATAGAGACTTCTTCTGCAAAAAATAAAACAACGGGGATGAGAGATAAATAGCACAAGTTTTTTGCAACAAACAGGTACATACCGTTCGACACTGCGACAGGACAGCGAGCATTAGGTAGCCGGGATAAATACTAATATAACAACCAATGGCACAAAGAATGCTGGCGACACATGGTTTGTCTAAAATTAAAAATCGAAATAACATATGCTGGAAAGAGAAAATTGTATTAAACGAAGTGATACCCCTTGCGAGCGAAATAAATATCAAGACGTTGATAATCCCAGAAACGATGCCGACCGAATGGCTACCAAATGAAAAAACCGAGAAAGGATTGAGGGCAAAGCTACAAAAGAATAATAAGCATAACAGTTTAACATTCGATAGGGAGAAATAAAATGTCATGAGCACTTACACCAAGGCTGACATCGGGAACAAGCTACAGCTATTTTGCATCGAACGGTATTTTGCCATCGCAAAATCAAGCAACAAAAAAACTGCCAATCCGGCAAATTCTAGCAACTGAATTAATTACAAAGCAATCTCTGATCTACAGGAAGAACAGTGCTTTCATAAAACGCAAAACCGAAAATCTTCCACATCATTAAGAATAGTGGGGGCTATACAAGAATCACATGAGTACGTAAAGCAGTTTCGCAAACCTGTGTAATTGCAGCTGACGCATTAACAACACTTGGGTTCAGAAAAAGGGTAGCTTCTTCCTTTACTAAATACAAAAGCATTTCCAATTAGAAAGTCACAAATTACGTCTGTTCCAGTCTTCATTTGCTGCGTGACTGATACTTTGAATAATTACTGAAGGTAAAAATGCCAAGCACCCAACTCTGAGCAGGATTCCAACAACAAAGAACGGAAATGAATTTTTGTACTCCATATGGGAAAACCCAACAACAACCAACCAATTCGTAGGACCCCCAATTAATTAGACGCGATAAAACACTACCAGTGGTAAATAAAAGCAAGTAATGAAATTTGTAAGGTCCTAAAAACTACAGGGAATCTGCTATTTAATTACGAACCTCACATATTCACAGATTCTATGTATCAATTAGATAAAAAGCTGGTGCACAAGAATGCTACATTTCTCATTAGGCTGTGAGAAAAGAACTTATTTTTATGACTGTTTACATAAAATATAGTGGTATTTGTTCTTCTTGTCCTAATAAGCGTTTTATAAAATACGCTGCGTTTGATGTTGATTTCGTTGGAAATAATCAAAATTAATATTTACATTAAACGAATCGACTGCCATCAAATGAGTGGAACTCTAAATGTCCAAATCAGTGAAACGGTAAAAATAGAAGTAAATGCCCAAGCGCTACTGATAATGCATTTTTGAACGAATATGGAATATTCATTTAAAAAATGTTTGAAATTTCACTATTATTCATTTCATTTTTTATGTAAACAGTTCCACTTTTTAAAATCTTCACCAGTTATAATTTTGTATTTGTCTTACTCTGATGCAATCAATGCAAAAATAAGCAGTTAGTTAGATCAATCAAGTTTCTACTTCCAATTATACAAAAGTGAATATCATTTTAAGTTTCCATTCTAAATTTGGTCAATTCACTTTTTACAGATTCAGATTTTACCTTAGTTCGCTGTTACAAATTTCCGGTAACCAAAAACATACCAAATTGACTATTAAACAGAACACCTAGCTAAAAAATCCTTGCATTTCATTCTAGAGTAGTGTCAAGACCTCGATCATCTGTATCGTCTTATATATAGGGGGTCTCGTGAATCAAAAGCCTTTTACGCATGACTGCATCCCACTCCTACACAGCTTTCCAGATTCCCTGCTGAGCCATTTGTACTTGACTCTGTGTTTACGTTGATGAACTTCAACCTTTATCTTAAATTATAATTAGGTGTAAACGAATCCCGAAACTCCTCATTGTTAATTCTCAGAGCATAACGCACATTGCTATCCACGCATACAGTATGGTAGCATCTACAGCCCACACCGCCGACTTAATAAATTGTTTACACACACATTAGCATCATACGACACAGCCAAAGGTCACGTGACTGGTCAGAATGGATGAGGGTCCTTGATTGAAGGGGGCTTTCAGCAGAGGCTTTAGGAACAATGATTAAGTAAAACATTTCTAGGTGACGTGTTAAAAGAGTGAAAAAATCTAACTGACGAGAACAGTCTTGAGGGATGCAAACTACCGCAACAGCGACCGACCACGGAGACATTCACCAGCATAAAGACACCTCTTGCTCAGTCAGTTCCGCATTAGAAAAAGTCATGAATAAACGCATACATAGGAAACTAACGGGTTGTTCCTGTAGAGTATTATCTCATCGTCTCATTTTGCGGACAACCAGGCCGAAAACCAATAAATCACGAGGTTTCTTATTACCCACCAACCAGTTCCATTTACCCTATTTCTCTCTGTGCACATTGTGAACAAGTCTCGGATCACACATGAAAAATGTGATAAAATACATGCATTGACCGCGAGGACGACTTCAAATGAAACACTTCCCCTCCACTTCATTTCATGGAATTCAAACCGAATAATGCGCTAATAACAGTTTAATAATGATTATTTTCCAAATTACACCACCTAACAAAACAGAAAGCCATTTAGACGCTAGTGAAAAGTGAACAAAAGTCAATAAATGCATAACAAAACAGGTAAATTTTCGCGGGCGAAATTGTGGCCACTTGGATCACGTGTTAGACATGCGGTAGGTGACGGCGCCGCCGAACCGAGAGCATAACGGACTTGTTGAGGCAGTCGGAATCAACGATACCGGGAAGGAAGGGTCGTCAGATTCACGCACATCCCCACAACCATGGAACTTTTTAAAACGAACCACCTAGAAAAGGATTTGACTGAATATAGGCAGCATCAAAGGCACAAAAGCGGTGTGAATGTAAAGTTTTATGTAAAATCAAATGAAATAAAAATTAAAATGGTCAGTCTGAATATCAGTCCTACGAAAACCTAGATTGACTATCACTAGAATTTCCATGTAGGCATGTTGCTTAACTGTCTAAGCAATAACGCAAGAGTCAACCAGTGATGCGGAAAACTCATCTGCATCCTCCGTACTAAAAGCCCATGGAAATGACAGAGGAAGATTATCTCCCTACAGCTGGCCGAATTCAGCCACCTTTTCGCTACGTAGAAACATCCCAAATGGATTGCTAAAGGCTTTTAGATTGATTGAACTCTCAAAGGGCCTTCGAGAGACCCAAGGCGAAATGCGACGACCGAACACAACACGAGTGTTCTGAAACGCCCCAAAGCATCACATTCAAGGCACAATTACTCAACGGACACCACGAAAGATAGCAACATACCTGATGCAGGAAACTGGAAATGGCGCACTCATTATAAGATTGTTCGGCAAGGCTGGATGAGGCATTACAGTTCTAAACAATGAAAAACAACGAATCCAAAGAATAGCTTAAAAAGCAACAGAACACACCCAGGTTTGAGTGGTATCGAGAGCATGTGTGCCGTGAAATGCAGAAATGTGTACTAAGTACGCAAAATGGAATAAGAGTCCAAGTGACCATTACAGATTTGGAAAAGTTTGGGTAGAAATGTAGGCGTGAAATTTGGGTAGGAGGGATCACACATGTCTGTGCAAAGTTTTCATGACAATAGATCGAGAAAAAACGCCGTGAGTAACCATGAAAGATCAAATTGCCGTTGCACAAGTTCCTGGCGCATCCAGGACCTAGTTACCATTATATACGCAAACTCAAAAACCCCAAATCCTGCATACAACTCACCAAGAGAATTTCGGGAAAGCCGTGCTCAGCGGCGAAACTCTCAGACTGCATACCGCTCGCGGTGAGCGTGCGCAGACCCCTCCATGGAACGCGGGAGGAGGAGGGGGTTCGGTTGTGGGAGCTGAGTGGGCCACGGACTTGGTCTAGCTTCGTACCCACTACTAAGACAGGCGGCGACGAGAAAGGCCTGGCGGCGGATCCGACGCCCCGATCGGAATCAGCAGAGTGGCAAACAACCCTGAGTCTGCAGAGTGTGAAAGACTAAACAAAGCAGCATTCTAGGGGATAGTTATCCAACACATTCTAGGTTAGGTTAAATCGTGTTAAAGTGGAGAAAGGATTTCAGTAAAAAGGTGTTAAGGCGGCATGTGATTTAAGCCTCAGGGACCGCGCGAAACGAATTGCGCACAAATTAATAGGTATTTCCAGGGGGGGCATTCTAACTTCTTTACTACTTAAGGATTGCACTGATAGTCTAGTAGGAGATTCAAGATCCTATCAAATTGCATGGAAGGACTCGGAGAAGGATGTAAGTTACTTATGGTCAAAAAGCAAGACGCCCGTTTCAGTGATGGTTGCCTGCGATCCGAGACCAAGAAGTTTACCACATCTAAAGCTTCCCAACAAGCCACTAAATCCGACAACAAAGCGGCATGAACCAGTGGCCGAACACACCAACCAAACCAATGACCATTATTCGCGTGTGCACAAGAGCAAGTACTGCCTAGTTTCACTTGACACCACCGAAGCAGTTCAAACTCAAAAAAAAATTGTCAACTAGCTGAAAGGCTTTAATACCTAAACCTGTATTTGAGATTTTTTTACATTTGCTGAAACATACAGTCCACTGAAAACAAAATGGTAGTTTTTCCACCGTACATTTTCGTAACACGTAGAATTGTAAAAAATATCATAGGAAAGTGATTATAATTTACGGTCAAAATCTACGGAACGGATAAGGATCGAGTTCACTGTACATGTCTCCACTTTTATTTTCGTCAAGGCTACCTATTACGTAATGACCATGGAACCGTTAACAGCCCAACTAGATCGACGAGTTCATTTTACGGAAGAACGTACGATATATCTAAAACACATTTTTCGATTATTTGTTATTAGATATCAAGAGAAGTCCTACAGCGCAACTGAACGAGTTGACTTCGTGGTCGAGAAACTTCGACAGCATATTCGAATGAGCAACAAACGTCACAACTTACTGGCTACTCCTCGAGGTCAGTTCGGCTAGCCACTTTTTCAGATTGGTTTCGGACTTTTTATTAGTCAAGTCGTGGACCAAAATGATGCCATGCAGACCGTCGTAGAACACACTCCTTGTGTTGGCGTGGCGGGCAGAACCGCCGATGTCCCAGAATTCAACGAAGAATCGCTCCTCGGCCTTTACCTGCGCACCACCCAAGTCCCCTCGGGGTCGGGGGAAAATCTATGGGGAAAAAACCGAACAGTTAGCAAATATTTACGTTCATATAATCTAAGACGCATTGATTTTTTTCTAAAACGAATGTTTTAAACGAAAGGACAAAACGACACCTTTACGAGATAGTGAAAACCGGAAGACAAATGTTCATTAAACAGGACAAGATAAGAAAGTACACTGAGAACAGAAAATCACATAACTCGGTTAAATTACAACGAATAAATGGGGGTGCGTAAATGTTCATGGATTCTACGAGACATCAAGCAGGTGCTCGGTTACAAAGTAGGTCCAATTTGGGTGAAATGAAAACAAGTCAGAAGTTTATTCATATATCAAATTTCATAATCGGTCAGTAACAGGCTTGAAAGGGCATCTGTAGGTACAAAACGAACATATCACAGGGGAATCCTAAGTGTAGGTATAAAACATTTCACTACAACAATCCACACCAAACAAGCTAATCATTACAAAAATACCAATGACAAGAATTTTGAGTAAGGGGAAACGCGTTAGTAGAAGTCAGGCCAAAAAATGTCCTATTTTCAAAGAAGTCTTAGTAAAATGCTTTAAGTGCTGGAAAGTAAAGAGGCACAGAAAGAGTAATGAAAGGAGGCTGCGCGTACCGTCAATTCGACACTGCAGCCAACTGTCCACGAGGGATTCAAAAGCGCTTCGCCATAACAAAGCAAATGGACGAATGCGGTCTTGCCAACACCGGAATCACCAGCGACAACTACCTTTAGTCTGTCATAGTCGCACATTCGTCTGAAGAATAGAGTAAGCACAAAATAAAGCAATAAGTAATGAAGGCAACAAACAGGGAAGTAGGCATGGATGTAATTTTGTACCCTAAAGCGTGTGTGGAATGATGACGACAAAAGGTTCAACGCGTATGGAAATATCAAGGACACGAAACACGGATGTTGCACGGTTCCTAAACTTATATGAACAACAAGGGGTAACGGAGTCAAAAAGAGGGTTTTTAATTCATAGTCATGGATAACGATGGAATTTCAAGTTTACAACTGAATTATAAGCAGATTACAATGGTTCTTTACCTGCAGCACTTAATTGTGTCCGAAGAAAAAAGCCACCATTTAGACCAAACGTTTGTTGGAATGATTTAAACGAAACAAAACAAGATAAAAGTGTCAGACATAGGCAAATTTTGGGAGGTTATTCGCAAACTTGAGCTATTGGATACTGAGTTGCATAATAATCTCTTGATTCACTTTTATGGAATATATGTGCAATTACCCTTCCCAGGAAAAACAAAGCACAATAATAACTGTTTGTAATAAGTATCATAAAAGTCTTCAAATGTGGTGAGGACGAAGAAACGCTTCACCTCCCATATTACAAGTTAGTAGGACCAGACAGCATTAATAGGCTATGTGAAAACTACTCTTATCAATTTAAGACAGGGCCATTGCCTTCACTTTCTCAAAAAAAAACATGCGCATTTCATGCAAGCACATTCTATTCCACCACATCCCCAATACCTACAACGCCAGCGCACACCTACCTGTAAAAATACACAACTTTACTTCTAGCGCCCAATAACATTAAGCAAATTTTGCTGAAATTACACTGCAGAAAACGAAAAAATTCTGCTTAATAAAATTAAAATAAACCTTTACGTCAAACCAAATAAGTTGAAATTGCTTGTAGTCACCTTACTGTTTACGTCCTTCATTTTTGAAAATCCAAGTGGCTTAAATGTGCATGCAATTGACATTAACGTACGGGCATCGAGACACCAGTTAGCAAATCTATGCAAAACATACAGTCATCAATTAACAAATTGCATTTAATGTCTAGTTTCACGAAATTATTAACACTGAATTTAGATATTGGAGATGTGGAAAATAAATTTTTCAAGTCACTCCAGTTCCGTATTTGATTCTTATAGTGTGAAAATGTAAAAAATGAAAAGTTACCATCAACCGTGTGTTTTTGAAGGTCTTCTACCAGACATTTAGTACTTACCCTAGTTATTGTGACTGATATCGATTTGATTAGAATGTCAATCAGTTCTAATGCAACACTGATGAAATTTTCTTGCTGGATATAAAGATGTGGAAATTACCTCTGGTTAGTTTCCGATATATAATTTTACAGTGAAAAGTATGCTGTGCTAAGCTGCCAGGTCTTGTTTTGTGTGATTAATGATTTTCGAGGAAGGTCATTTACACCTTAACAAGTTTTGAATCCTATTACAATAATAATTATTTATTGTTTAGTTTTGATGAATAAAATTTTGATTCTATTTAGCCATCATGATGACATCCTTAAAAATTTTAGCAGAAGTGATATCACTGATGCTATACGTGCTACTCATGACCTTCGGGTGGTCACCTGGATAATCTGGATTATCATTTTCAATCATATTTTTCTTTTGATATTTTTTTATTAAACTTATTGAAAGCTGGTATAGACGTCTGTATTAAATGCTGTAATAATACATGTATATGTGTTAATTTTTTTGATTCTTTGGTCAGAGCATTTCTGTTAAAGCGTTAGGGCAGTAATATAATGTGTTCGAATTGCTTGCTATCATCCAAGTTAAATTACCTATTTAACTACATTTTTGTAGTGATTTGTTTGCCTTTTGTAGTAAACTCATTTTTTGTGCATGTCAAGCTGGGTTAACTGGTTTATTAAAAATTTAATTTGCTCCATCATGAATGCTGTTGCGATGCTTGCTTAATCGATGTCGGGATTTTATTTAAGTGTAAGGTCTCTTTCTATCTTACAACAAAGTGTAAATATGTCCGTTGCGTTTAACTTCCCCAAACATGGAGTTTTGTCGCAAATTCCTTCAAATATTTGGTGAACATATGCTGTTTTTTGGCACTCTCGTCATTGTTCCTGCCGTCGTTGTCTATACGATTGTTCAAAGGCTTAAATATCAAGCTTTTATGTCAGGCGTATCCACGTCTGATGCAATTTGAAGACCTATTATCTATCTCTTAGAATCCTCTGACATTATCACATAATAATGAATAGGCTACGGGACATTCGATTCATTCTCTAATTCGTTCGAAAATCCCATTTACTACTATTTTCTAATTAAATTCATTAAGGTTGATGTAAAACGTTGCCAACGTCGATGTTCCGATTTTCCTCTGTCGTCCACTTTTCCGGGATAGATTGTTGTATTTGTGATTTTTGGCCTGTGGCTTCGTGCTTAAATGTCTCGTAAAATCATGCCAAATGCTTGCAGGCCACAGTTGATGTTATGCCGCGCCGGAGAAAGACGCCGCTTTCGAAGACTACGATTCACCGTGTTGGCGTGTTCCAACCGCTCAATCAGTCATTTCCGAGTACACCTAACCATTCCTCACAGTCATTAATGAACCAGCCGCTGGTGGGTTACTTGGACCTGCTTTTTAAAAGCTCCGGTTTTGTGAGTCTGTAATGCTTTTCCCCGTTTGCAGTTGACAGATGATCTGGATCGCCAATTCGAGACTGCGTCGATCACTGAGATGGATGAATCCTCTTGTCTCCGTAACGAGCTGTCCTATTTCTTCCTCAGTTCATTGGAGCGTTGGAAACAGTCTGGGGATATTTCCTACACGATGGTTGTTCAATTTCTCAAGCTTGTAATCGTCACATCCCAGGTTGGCTGCTGGTCGTGTAAAATAATTGCGATTGGAATATACATACCAACATGGTATGCGAAAAATAGTTTGCAAGGCTTTGTGAATTGTTTTAAATAATTTAGTTTTTTCTTTATGCTAAAAGCCTTACGGGTAGCAACTACTGAGTTTACTGGCACGCGTTTGTCAAAATGCAATCGTATAACAGTTATGTAATGAACCGTATTTCATTCAACAAGGTTTCATAACCAATCCTTTCGGCATGACAAATGGGGGTATTAATGTACCACTGCTGTCTGCCTGTTGTCTCAAAGTTTTTTATTGGCGAAGAAACTTAGATGAAGTCAGTGAAAAGGGAGCGCTCAAGTATGCAGGCCAAATTTCGTGGCTTTATGATAAAAAGGTTTTTGTAGCAATTTTGACCTCGCGAAAATCGGTTAAAATTCAGCTTCTCTGTGCTAATAAAGTGTTCTGCAGACCTAAATTGAGGTATTAATTGCGCCTGCATATTTGTATATTGTTTCGCACTTGGGAACTGCCTTTCTCGTTCCATGAACTTCAATACATGGTATTGGTTGCCCCGCTAAACTTTTCTGGTTTTCTTCATGCTGAAAGAAGTGAGGTGAAAAGTACCTTGTACTGGGAGTCGTTTTATTAATAATGCCGTGTCGAGTTTTAATAATGACGTTTTTTTAATTGTTGCATCTCGAAGTTTCCGTTCTTGCTTTTTTCTAACCGTTCAAAATATTGCAGCCTGTAATAGGTTTTTTTTATTCCAATAAAAAACGTTAGCTTTACTTAAATGGCTGTTTTGGTGCCTTATAAATGCATAAAACGTTCTGTGAGAAGCTTGTGAAAAATTATTTAAGTTCTCAGACCTGACCTAATCAATGTTCAGCCTTGTTTCCCTATAGATGGTGAGCTTTCTGTCCTTCAGCACCTGCACTACTTGTCTCATCCGTGACAAGGTTTTTGAAGAGGCCACTAGTGCCGTGAATCCTTTAACAGTGCATGTGAAGTGTTCTGGTGATGATTATGCCATACCTTGACGAGTCTCAAATTCAGGCTTGTCGTGCTCACCACACCACTTGCGTCTAGTATCTTAAACTCATAATGATTTTATTATCTTGTTAATAGACAGTAAATGTATGTATTTCCGTGGATTCTTCTTTCAGTTTTGGCTTAACACATAATCTAGTAAAGCGTGATTATCCTCTACAGCTACTCCTCTTCGGCTCCCTCTCCTCAACTCGCATTAGTTACGGTGAACGCGCGGAATTATCGTTCAAGCACATGTACCTCCTGGACTGGGACCCTCAATACGAAACACTGCCGTATCCCCCGAGCACCGGCATCTATTCAGTCTACAGTCGCGAGCAGCTCTACTCGAGTGTCGGTTTCGCTCTCAGAGAGGTTTGTGTATGTGTGTGACAATTTCTTTTCGGCATGAAAACGGTGGCAAAGTCGTTTGTTTGCCTTGCCTCCTTGCCCACTAAACTGAAATAGCAGCTTCTTCATATTCGTAACTTGGCTTCTTATTTTGGCTAATCTGAATTTTTGTACTGCCACAAGGTCCGTACAACATATTCTGCTGAGCTTTCTAGTCTTGTTTAGATTGGCGAAATCTTTTGCGATTCTGATGGTAAAATGGCAAAGATGCACGAGAATCTCGCGTTCAAATTGAAGATCATGCGCAATCAATTTAAGCCCAGGTGGCTTTATGTTTCGAATGTTTTACTGGGAGCTCAGCCTACCACGCTCCTGTTATGCTCAGCCCTAGCAATTATTCTGTGCAATGCTTCAGTCACATCACAGACATCGGCAACTCTCAACAGCTGTCCATCTTTCTTTTCCTTAGCTCTAAAATGAAGCCTTAACAGCAGAAAACGCAGCACTATGCTCACGGGTTTGACGTTTTGTGTAGTCACGCTTGGTGTCGAGTGGCGGATCGCATTAACTGATCCAGGGCTGAATGTGATTTTATTCCCCACAGTGCTTTTTTACGTTATGTTAAGTCCCAAAATGCGCCGTTAATCTCTTGACGTTTGTTTTTTTGGGCGTTGCAGTTCAACGCGACAGAGCTGACCTCTCTTAACGGCTACTCGTTCACTGAGGCGGGTCGTTCTGTCAGAGTTTGTACAGCACAATTTGAACCTTCCGCTGCTTCTCTAAGTGATTCTGACGCTGTGAAAGGTTTGTTTCATCTAGTTACTGCCCCACAAAGTAAGACTTGGTGCATTTCGGTCTTTTTGTAATTGAACAAGACATTGATTTTGGATGCCCTTCGGACGGGCGAACCCGTTTATTTTAGCCAAATTACTCATCTAGAGTTGTGCTCCTATCCATATTCTCTTTCCACGTATACTCATCCGTTCTTGTTTTGTCTTTTTGGCAATGTTCAAAGTCTTTGATTGTAGTAGCCATATTCACGGTCATCGGTGCTCGAATTTCGGTCGACATAGCCCGGCGTTTGTCTCTTCGCCACAGCGTGGCTTTGAATTTCACTTATGGTTTTCTCGTAGAATACAAAACCGTTGTCGGCTACTTATTCACCTCCACTTTCATTAGTTTTGCAGTTGAAAGCGTTGGGTGTGCGGGACCTCATTTTCTGTGCCTTTTTCTCTGTAGTGTGCCGAAATCTTGACCTCGTTAATATCTCCAAAAGTGCACTCATCGACGGCGATCACACCAAGAGGCTTCTTGACTCGCGTGGGTTGAGTGTCGATTTTGCAAGGTTTGTGATTTTTTTTGCATTGGTATTCGCTCAGCTACCATTGTTACTCAGTCGTTCAAGCACTCTAATCCAAAATCAGCCAAGGACTCTTTCGTCATTCACTGTTACTTGTCTAATTTCTGGAGCTGGAAATCACTTTGATACTACATGCGAGATAGTGTGGTCTCGAGGTGTGCCCTCGGTGCCCAATCGTCGCGACGCCAAGGCGTTCCCCCACTTGTCACCCCATCTTAGCCTCCCGCTCGTTACTCGCCTTGTCCAATGGTGTTACCAATTCTCTTCCCGCATCCAACAACTGTGTTCGGTGGCTTGATTTTTGCTTCTAGATACCTTGTTGACTCGTTATCATTCGTGTTCATGGGATTATTTTTTGTTGTGTTTCTTGGTCAGTACTTTTTTTGTCGATTTCAGATTCCAGAGTCTTTCACTGTATTTTTCCCTGAACTCGCCACCGATTCATCATACGGATTGGGACATGAGCGTCGAGTGCTTTCAGTTCGACATTGAAGTGAGCTGCTAATTATGTGTACATATAACCTGGAATCTTCCACTTAGGGACTACGCCCTGTTAAGTCTCTTGTGCACGCGATTTGAGTGAAGAAGCTGTACTTTTCTTGGAATATCATTTTTAAGGGACTGATCTACCAATGTGTGGTGTTGCTGGTGGTGGGGAAATTGTTGGGAACCCCGAGGCCTTTTTAACCATCATTTAGTGACTGAATGGAGTGCATAAGTTTCGAAATATGCGACTTCCTTCCCGAAAACCTGCTGATAAAGCCTCTTCTTTCTGGCAACAGTTCCATAAATTGGTTTCTTTGTTTGTTTTACTGTTAAAATTCATTGTGTCTCTAATTAGAACAGTTAGTCGTTTTTACTTTTTCGTCGATTGTCGCCTCCATCAAGTAACAGGCGTTTTTTTAAGGAGACATTTTCAAAAATTCGACTTTTACGGTTCTGGAAACAACTCCTGCTTGGCGTTAACTGATCACGAGGGTGCTTTCATTTTAGCCGTCGATAATTTCTTGTTAATGTAACGATTGTATGAAGGACATATTCTGAAGTGGAATAAGTGCAATGGACTGCCGTGTTATGGCCAACTCGGCGACTTCGTTGATGCCTTGAAGCTATCCTGCTCGATGCTTCTTTTTACGTGACATGTCGGTTCCTCGCCCATTTAAGATCACCTTCGATAACTCGGGTCAAACTGGCCAGGTGATGGTACGACTGCAGTCGAGCGTTCTGGAGATTCTCTGCTCGGCCCAACATTCAGGGGAATCTGGCGCGTCTTCCATTCAGTCCTTTCCTGGGGTGAGCGGTACTGCACCGGTCCTGCGCCGTGTCGTTCACCTTGTGGTCGACTTGATGGCATTCAACGTCGCACTTGTCTCGCTCGGACTCTGCATTGCTTCGATAAGCCACGCTGTTCGTCTGTGGAAGGTTCGTTTAAGCTAATAATAAATCATGATTACCTAAATTTTTGGTATGGACATGCGAAGGACATATTATTAGTCACTTTCAAGTGTATTCCGGTTGAAAAATGCAAAACGTGTTTGCCGAAATGCAGTTCGCTCGTTGGGATCCGTTTTTTTTATTATGGATTGGTCAAGAGGTGACAGTTGGTGCTAGTTTTTTTAACACAGGACATCCTTGTCTTGTTAGAGTACTTGAGTATACTTTTAATTGCATCGCATACTTGATTGTCTCTATAACGCTCATCAACTTCATGATATTCCAGTTAGTTGTGTTCACGCTTGAAGTTCTATTATTTTTTAATGTACAAGAATACCGAACGCTCAAAAAGCACATAGGTCGACCAAGTTAGTGAGGATTTGGTAACTTTCGGTGTTCCACGCTTTACTGTGTACTGATTTTTGTGCTCCAATAACGCCTTAGAAGTCTGAACAGTTGTTTCATTTGTTCACGTGTGGTGTCGTGATTCTTGATGTCAAGCCGTTGTGTCCAATCCTTCAGCTTCCTGTTTACCTCCCTCATTTCATCTAAAGTTTATCTCGATGCGAATATTCGGACCAGTCACTGCACCAAAGACGTCACCGTCTGGCGACTAAATAAGCAGTCGTGTGTTCTTTCTCTTTCGTCTTACTATCTCTTGGGCTCGTCGTAGAGGTGCCCTAACAAGGCAATTTCGCGATGTCACCCCGCTTTTTGCCAAATAAGACAAGTAATGATTCAGAAGGAACGGTGTAAAGGAACCCTAGTTGAACGCTTAAACCTACACGCTGCTGTTCCTCTCCTTGTATTGCCTATCCAGTTTGAACTTCTACCAGCACTTTTAAAAACTATTGTTGTTATTGGTTATCTACTGGTTGAAGTTTTATTCTGTGTGGTTAAACCTGCTGAAAATGCTTTAATTTTTGTCCAATGCTCGTGGCTTTTACAAAACACATTTCCTTCCCTTAATGAGCTTCGTTTGTCAATCTTTGACACCATCTATTATGACAGTGTTTAATTGTACATTTGACGCTTTTATCGTGGTTTTGTAAGTGTTGAGACTCGAAACAAGAGTCTACACTGTGATGCAGTTGGGGTGATGGTCTGTGTTTGTGCAACCGCCTTAATGACAACATGCCTAATGCTTTCTGTCGACCAACGACTTTCTGTCAATCAAACCGCGCAGTCGAATCCGCAATAACCAACTTGGAAATGTATGGTGAAGGCTTGTCACTAGTAGAAACTGCGAAAATTGTCCAGCAATGTTCTATTTGATTGTGTCTTTTGTTGACAAGTTGAATACATTTTTTTGGCAACAGAGGACTCGGCATTTCTTCGCCGCACACTACGGAATGCAACTGACTGGGGTTTTTTTCGAGTTCGTCAATCCTTGGCTTTTTCTCGTGCTGAAGAGCGATGCACTCATAATCGCTGGCTCGATTTCCAAACTCGTACACAACAGAAACGTAAGTTTATCTAACTTATGTGCAGTTTGCAATAGGCTGCTGTAGTTGACAAGTAGCGCTTTGGCATTTTTCGATTCACTGCTAATCTGGTTGCATTTCTTTGATCTCGAACAAACGCTCTCTAAATGGTGAATGCAAAATCAACGTATCAGCCCTCATATCACAAAGTTTTTAAATTAAGATGTGTAGTTAAGTTGACAGAGTCTTTTAGTAAGCTGCTTCAGCCCTCATAAAATCGATAGTATCAGCATTTCCGACATTAATTGTAAAATCATATCTCGCGTCGGGGAAATGTTCTCTGTCTTCTTTAAACGGAGGCGTTAAAGCACCGATTTTCGCATCGATTTGTTAGCCTAAATGAGGCAAGTTTTCTTTCTTCGTTTGATCTTTGGGTATTTGTTCTCTTTTTAGCGAATTTCGGCTACTAAACCCATATGACAACAAGCTGGGCGTTTATGTTGTAAACCTTTTAATTGGATTCCTTTTGATTTGGTCCACCCAGTTCCCTGTTTAGGATTATTGTCTCACATCCGTTCTTATGAAGACTGCTGCCTTTCTACCCAGTGGAGTTTCGCTCTTGTCACTTGTGGAATCACCCCAGTATCTGTTCCACCTCATGATTGTTTTGGTGCATTCTTCCCACCTCTTTTAGTGAATCATTAGAATGACTTTTCGCGCACACGCTTGTCCAGTATTTATCGACCTGTGCATTTTTTGTTCAGATTCTGGAGGCATATCGTGAGCTCTCCTATCTCCTGGGCTTAGGCACACTGCTGGTTTGGATCAGTGTCCTTCGCTACGCGGAATTTTCGTCACAAACTCACGTACGCCTCTCCTTGTATTCGCGCTACACTTGCTACACAGTTTGGTGCCATTAAACTGAACCACCTGTCTCACCTCAAAGCTTCTTGACTTTATTTGTAAATTTTTTAAGTAGCCTGGTAAGACAACATCTGCTCACTGCTGTAGAATTGCATAATTTAGCACGTTCTAAACCACTAAACTCCCAGGGCATGTGTGGCAAAATTAACTGTAGAAATTTCTCATGACTTGTTGGTGCAATTGGATAGCTATTATTAGCCCTAGGCTTTAAACTTTGGCTACAGACTTGTGGTTGTTCTATTGCCCAATTAATTGGGTTTTTTTTCATTTTCAAGTTGCTGTTGCGCACCATCAAGCGCTCAGTCCCGGGCCTGCTGCGATTTTGTGCCTGCGCGCTCATCCTCTACTTCGCCTTCGTTCTTTCCGCCTGGGTCATTTTGGGTCCCTTTAATGTGAAATTCCGCACCTTCACGTCGTCCCTAGAGTGCTTGTTCAGTCTCATTAACGGAGACGACATGTATGTCACATTTTCGATTATCGATCGGACCAAGGGACTAGGTATTTTTCTCTTCTCGCGAATCTTCCTCTACACCTTCATCACACTCTTCATCTACGCCGTCCTCAACATCTTCGTGACCATCATTTTTGAGGCATACGAGGATGTCAAGGTTAGGCGCTGCATGTCACATTCCGCATTACTTACACACCACTGCTAGACGTGCTTACGAGCAGTCGGTGTTGGGCAATGCTGAAAAGACCATGGCCGGCTTCATTGCCATGTCGGCGGATTATCATTAGAAACCATTTTACTTAGCTCCTGACTAGCAGATATATAAATTGGTGTAATTGCAGATGGATGTATTTTATCACATTGAAATGTCAACTTAAGCTCTTCTTGTCTTTGGATTTTAGAGTAAATTTCTAGCTCACTGATTACTCCGAAGACCAGAGACTTTTCAAATCAGAATAAGATTCTCTTAGATTTAGAGGTATTGGTAAATGTTATTAGTGATGGCTTTGTACAAATTTAGGACAACGACGACGATGACAAGCATAGTCCGCTGTGGCACTTTATCTCACAAAACAAGCCACCGCGACTATCCGTTGAGACGCAGGTCGACGATTGTGGGATGGCGCGTGCGAACTCGCGCTGCGAGACCCCCGAACCCGCAGCCCCCTCGGCCCTGTCCCGTCAACACTCTCCAGCCCCACCGGAGGCCCCGCCAGCGGCCACAAGTTGCGCCCGCCACGACGACAAGGCTGAGTGCACAGGACACGGGTGTTAGCCGTTTCGGGGGGTGCCGGTAGTCGCTTGTCGATGGGGTTTATGTACGCATTTGCCAATTTTCTTTCAATCTGGTCTTACGCGACGCAGTGAAACTAACCTCTAGCAAATACGAATATCCAACACGCTATGCAAAAAATCAGGTTTTTACCAAGTTTTGAGGCCACTTAGGAGTTTTAACACCTTATAATGTTTTGGGATTCGAAGGATTTTGAATCGTTACCCGTCGGCAATCGTATGAGCCGTGTTCTACTTGCATCCTAGGTGGTAGTTTAACGCAAAGCGCATTTTTGAAAATCTAAGATTGTGAATCAAGACTGACGCATAGTGCGTTTGCGCAATTACCCCGATGGTAGTATCGCGGCTGCGTATTTTGGTGTAAATCGATGTCAAGCCATCCACCCCAACCCATGTCTTTGCGTCTTTTTTAGACGAATCCCCTAAAAAGGTAGTGAGGAATGATTTTCAGGCTCGGAGAACGCTTGCCAATTTTTTAGCTCCTAGTCTTTATACAATCTTATTGTGTGTGTGTGTTTTTAGTCTATTCTTGCAATGTTACTCAGGCCTTCAAATTGTTGTAACCAACGGTTTCATATTTTTTTTAAATGAAAAAAAAAGCATCGCCTCAGTGCATAAGGCCTTTTCTCCTACGTTTCCTTTTTTTGACATTGGTGGTTAAGTGTTAAACATGTTGTGGCTATGTGGTTCTAGGGACTATGCTTCTCTGCTTACTGACAAAATAGTCGTTTTTATTTCAAAAGATCGCGTCTCTGACTCTCGGTCTGATAGGTGTAATCTTCTGGATGTAATAAAAGTGGTAACTTAATAAAGTACAGCCTGCTTCGAAATTCGGGCAGAATCATTTTGAACAAGTTTCAAATCGTCGATTCGTTTACATATCTCCAATACTAGTGTACGAGTTGCGTTATTACAATCGGTGGTACCATTTTAAATGCAGCTAACCTGCGCAAGTCGTTGCAAAGCGTGTGCGTGATCTTCAACGTGGTTTCTCTGCGCAGGCGTTAGACCCATAGAGTCAGAAAAATAGTTTCCCTTCTGATGCGAAAATCTAGCTTTCACATTTTGAAAGTACCGCACTCAAAATGCAGGTTTCTGGTATAATTGTAAAAACATCACATGTAGTTGCCACCAAGATGTTTTCCCTGTTGCAGAAAGTAATGATTTGTCAATCTAGCGTTTTCGGAATAGAGACGGGCACTTCTCTTCCTGGGTAGGTGAATCACTAAATTATGGTCCTGTTTTCCGGTTCAAGGGTTTCTTCGGATTTTGTTAACAAAATAGAGGAGAAAATGTGCGCTTTTTTTTAAGTAAAAGCTAATAAAATGGTTTGAGGTCATTTGGATAATAACATGCTCTGCAGGACGTCTCTAGTTCCCTACCTCAATTCCTAACTTTGTGTGCACCGCAAGCCATCAGACAAAGTCAGTGAAAATTTACGTTCCGAATTCAGCGCCTACTTTGGTTGGCGCCACAGAAGTTAACCAGTGGGGGACGCCGAATCTAGTCACAATATTTGTATTTCACCTTAAATGTGCATATCTTAAGTCGTTGGTAAAAGAAAATTACCCACTAGTTTACCCCTTAGGACGCTTAGTCTCGGTTTCATCTAAATAGGGCTGCGCCAATATAAAATTCGAACATGAGGTACAAATGGTGACGGAACTGTGCATAAATTTTAAAAATCAGGTTGGATGACTATAAAGCGGCACCGTAGAGTGACATTTAGCATAATGAGTTATCAGGAAATGAGTGTATAAATCGGGATTTTGTCACTACTTTAAATGGGATACTGGAGACACAGCTTAGGTTTGATTTAAGAAATGATAGCGTTGAAAAAGTCGGTTTGCCTCTACACAAGTCAAGTTTGCGATTAGGCCCATCTCATAGAGACTAATCCAATGTCAGGTCTGTGACGCTGAGTCCTACACGCGGGCATCCGATGTGATGAGGCTTGAGATACTACACGCAGTTTGTCCCGAGGTGAATGAGAGAGTGGAACCTCGGCCAATTATCAGGTGGTCAAACCAAAGCTGTGGTGGGTGTGCAGGTGGGTGTGCAGACGTACACAATTGTGGACAGTGAGTGCTGACCACAAATTAGATCAAGTGCGTGTGGCTGATCAATTGCGCGGCCATGGGTAGGAGAGAAATGCTTAGTGGTGACGGATAAACTATAACATGTGTAGGCGGAGGCGACGGGCATAAACCAACGCGATTCATTACAGGGACCAAATTTGGTGTTGTGTATCAGATCACTGTCCGTCATGATGGTGCCTGCGTAGAGGCAACAAGCCTACTTACAAATAAAATATGTGTCGTGTGCAATACGGTGGTTATGTAGGGGTCTAAATAATCGTTTTGCCGAAAGTCGAAACTGCTAGTCCCGCTAAAATAACCCGGGCTTGTGCGAACTTTAAATAGCCGTTTATACTGAGATCGCCATTATCTTTGTGCGACCTTCTTAAACCTACCTCGATCAGTTTAAATGTATGCGTGCCTCTATATCTTTGGCCGTGTCAACAGTGTCTACAAGCCCTAAAACCACTTTGTAATAGGTCTTCTAAAATTGCACAACGCACAAATGATTTGTTTACAACTGAAAAAGCGGATAGCAGGACACCATGAGCACGACAATCTCGAAGTTGCCTTTACAGGTGATACCAAAGTTGCTTCCTCATATTCAAACCACAACGAATCTACTCTACACAAGCCTGCTTTTCCACCTTTCCATACATCCCGAGTTGATCGGCCACTGAGACCCTCGTCAATTTTTGCTGACAATTCGCGAGCGTTTACTGTATCCCAAAGACAACGCTCTTGGGTAGAAATATTTGTATTTGATCATCATCGCAAATGTGAGCGAAGATTGTTCGCAGGCTCACTAGAGCCAGTGACTGTTAAGTTTACCATGTTGTTCCTGATTTATTCGCTGTATCAATTCTGATTCTAAGGCAGCGTTACTCACAACTTGCTCATTGTTTTATACGTGTAATGTTTAATTTAAGTTATTTGAGATGGCACGTTCATGTTTTTGAACGTTCCGGAGTGCTTGTTTATCCTTTCTGGAATCGGTGTGTTTGATCAATCGTTGGCCTAAAAGTTTCGCAGGCAGACATTGCTTACATGGTGAATTCGATGCACATATTTTACTGGCGAACGCGATAGTTCCAAGTGTAGAACTCAACGAAACGAATCTTAGAAGATGAAAACTCTTAGAACTCGAAAGGCTACAGTAAGGAGGACTTAAAACGAAGCACCGTGTGAAAGTTCGTCAGTCAAAACGAGTATAACCCGCAGAATTTGCTATTACGATTAAAAAAATTAGTGGGAAACCAGTTTCATGTCCTGCGGTTTAAGGCACTTCCATTTTACTGTTGAGAGCACAACGAATGACAACACAACCCGTTTAATGCACTTGTTGCATAGTAAAATGCATCTGTTGCACTAGGATTAGAGTACCAGAAAATGATTAGAATATGTTACACTAACAGGACTCGTGCGTTGAGGGTCTTGAAATGGATCGAAAAGCTCGGAATCTGTGCCTGCGGTTGGTGGCGATTTCTAACAAAGAAGCGAAGAAGCAGTTTCAAAGGAAATCCGACAAGTCCTATATCATGTCAAAGAGATATCTGGTAACTCAAAAGTCATGGATCGGGAGAAAGCCCTGGGACGGTCATGCCAATCGGACTCGTACTTCATGGACCTTACTCGAAAGTCACCAGTCAGTCTTGAGACAAGCCAGCCAATATACAAAGGCAATCATAAACGAAAATGGCAGGATACAATTGGAAGAAGAATGGTTGAAGTAAAAGCAAGCCCTCCAGGGCCATGATTATACCCCAGAATTGCCAAATGATGTTATGGTCATTTTTAGGAGATGTAAGCAGGCGTGAAAAGAATAATAAAATGCATCGTAAGAGCCCTGAAACCATTTTGGTAAACACTTGCGACTACCGGACGATTTTTTGGGGCTCGCTAGAAAGTGGATAATCTTGGTGTGATTCAATATCACATGCTTGGGCCCAAAGCAATTGGTGATTCCGGCATGAGGAACCATAAGGTGCTGAGAAAACCAAGAAGGGGTTGGGGGATAGTTGTTTTAAAGGGGTCTGTGGGTATGACGGATATTCCGGCCCCTGAGTTAATCAAGAATCACATACCCATTAATGAATCGGACAAAAATAGACAGCGAGTTGTGTGGCCGTTGGAAGTCGACGCCACTACTGTCGCGCGTTTTCGTTTCCCTATTGAATATTTGGGTTTGAAATCACATACTCACACGAAGACCTACATTTTAAGGCTGCTCTACTATAGGCTTTGCGATGCCATCAAAGACGTCGAGACGGTGGTCGAGAAGAGGATCTGCCTAAATGCGTTGTTACTTTATGTGACTCGGGAAGGCCTGATTGACATGGCATCGATTGCCACTTCGATCTTGACTAAAGTGTCCTTTTCGGCAAGGTCTTTGGATGGATTGTTGGGCGCAGGGACTTTGGGTTCTCTTCGAGATCCAGGGCCAATTTCAGTGACCTGTGTCGATTTGGTCGTTTTCAAAATGAAGTCTGTAATATTTGCCAACTTCTTAAAGGCTGACACTCCGACAGATGGGGTCAAAATTGGTTGAACAGCTTGTGGCAGGTGTATAATAAAAAACGCCTTCCAGAAGTTTCCATGCGAGGGATCGTCGTTAGAGAGCAGCCGTATCTTCCGCAGAATCTGGGTTGGCTTTAGGTCTCCCTGCACCTGTCGGGGCATTAGCTGTTCTATGCGTTCGAATGTTGAGAGCTGCGTGCTTTTGAGAATTTCAGCTTTTAAGTGCTCAAAAGGAACTGGCTTGTCGGGATGAAGCAGCATATCCAATAATTCGTCTGTTAACTCACTGGTCAGGATCGAAGCTTAATGCAAATATTGTGCATAATGACAGACGATGTTAGTTGTGAAAAATGGCGCATCTAAAGCTGCAAACCAACTAAAAGCCGTATTCGGCTAGAATTGGGGTATTTCCATACTTATTCCATCCACGTTAGGAGAAGGTTGATCCTGACGACTGTCCATTTCGGGGTCACCAATTTGCTCTAGCGCCATTTACCACTACATAACCAAAAGGATGAACCCAGGGCAGGGACAAGTTGTTGTTGTGTGTGTGTGAGTGCGGCATTTGCGCGTGTCTATTAATACGTCAGATGTGTGAATCATAAATTTGCTAACATCGAGACCTAGGTGTACGGATAATCCAAGATAATCGTCCACATTAATGAGGGAAGTTAAGGATCCGCCCGGCTGGTAATATGCTCCATAAAGGAGGACTCTGTGTCGAAGGCAGGAGTGGTCGGATTAACGAGCGTGAATCAGCGCGATCCACAGCAGCCCCTTCACTTAGGCTGAACTTGGGCCTTCTTTCAGATTCTGGTTCAATTCGACCCGTCGCCACTTTTTGATTGTGTCTCTGTTTATTGGTGAAATATAAAATTTAGAATGTTATTCTTGATTCATATGTCGTTTTAATTCTGGTTATATCCAAGCGCTACTTTCAATTTGTTTACTAGAGGGTCTTTCATGAAAAATTAGAATGCCATTTTCTTGTTGTCCACATTTTGTTTTGTATGTTTACTGTTTGATGTCCATTGTCGTGAGGCTAATTGTACAGGATAGCACGTGTACCTTATTTAACGTACTGGATCGCCCTTATTTATTGTGGACTTTGCGTGTCTGTTAAATTGTGGAGCTAAAGGCCTCGTAGCCAACCTAGGAAACCGTTAATTGCTGGTGTGTGAAAAAATAAGGATATGTCATCGCAGTTTATGTCCACTGACCAACCTGGTTGCGACCCATTATTAATTGGGAAGTTGGTATTGGACAATAAACTGACCTGGTATTGACAATGTTTCCATCTGTTCAAAGTAAATTAGCTGATTTACCAAAACAAAACTTGGATTTTATGCATAAAAATGGCCTTCATGGGTAATTAAATTGGAAATTTTGTCATCTAGATTTCCCTTTCGAGTAGCAGTTAATTGCACAATCAGACAAAGCGAGAACATGGTAATTGTCTATGTCGTTTCGCTGCAAAACTCAAGTTCCGTCGGCTTTTGGAAGCTCATAAGATGGTCGAGTATCAAACAACGGCTTTTTTGAATATCTGTGAGCACAGGCGGGTTGAGTAGAAAGTCTGAAAAAAAATCATCTACTAAATTTAGTTATCCATAAATAGTCATTAAATGCAACTCACCACAAAAAATGAATAGAACCAATAAGTGATGCTTTTGAATCATTCGTATGAAATAATAGTGTCATAAAATAATTCAAAATCGTTTAAAAAACTGTGTGTGAATTATGTCGGTATAAGCGTATTTAGTGTGCTTAGTTGACCATCAGAATATATTATGGATACACACGATACACAGGAAATTGTGAATGACGCATCAGCTAATCAAAATAATGAGACTGCGTCTAGCCGCTATAATTGTGTAAAAAAGTGGTAAAAAGTACGCGCCATGCATTAGTTATCCGCCACAGAAGTGAAAGGTTTCATAAATCAAATATTCTGGCTTTCGTGCTCATTTATTTCTTATAAGAATGGTGAAGGTAATCTGGACCTAATATGACGTTTGCACAATTCAACACGCGAACATTGCCAAAAAGATTTTAAGATGCTTAAACAGCTGAAGAGTAGACTTCAAGCGTCACTCTACTGCAACATTCGTTGTGACAATAATGTCACTATACAGTTGTTGTCGCGTCAAAATGTAGTACGTATTGCAACGAAATCAGACTTAAATCTCAGCAGTTGTAAAAATTTTCGTCTTGATCCCTTGTCTTCAAAAGAGTACAGAATAAACTGGAGATTTGTGAGTCCACGTCTCTAATACTGTGTGCGAAAAGGCTACCTTTATTTCTTTTTTATGTCATTTAAAAATAAAATTTTGTGTGCAAGACAAAATACAGAACAATATATGCTGTTTTGACCACTCTTTCTGATTTCCTGTTATAATATTATTTATCCAGTCACCTATTTGCTGATATTACGGTTTTGGCCGCCGATATAGCATCCACACGAGATTTCATCACGGTGTTCTACTACTCCTTATTGTAAAAAAAGTATCCATTCACTTGAATACTCGGCATTTAATGTGCGAAATTTTGCATAGAAACCAAGGCAATATGAAAGAATCAGACAGAGAGGTCAGTGCCTCCTACAGGAAATGTTTAATAGTTTCCTGGATTTCATTTAGTCAAACATCATTCATATGGTCGAGCGGGATGCCAGTAAAATGGTAGTTTTGTGCCTTCTTAATAATGAAAAATGTTTTCTATGGAGATCTGCGTTGTAGAATCAACAGCGTTAAATATTTAGAAACAGAATAAATTTGTTTTTTGATCGCTTTAGAAATACATCTGATTTCAGGCTCGAATTTTATTATATTTCTAGAAACTTATGGAATTTAAAACACCACGTCCATCAAATGTGTAAATATGTTTACTCTCACATTACAGTCTTCTCTTAATTTATTGTTACGCATTAACCAAGCAATATGTGTACTCTCTTTCTATTATTATTATTATCTCCAAAAGTAATAAAGTGTGTTACTTATTAATGACGTTTATTTCACTGTGATTGTGAGCTGCTCACATTGTGTCACAAAATTACAATCACAAACCCAAACTAATGCTGCTAGTTTATATTTATATTTAGTGATTTATTTTTACTTTCACATGATATTTACTGTACAGCTAGATATCTATTTCAATGATTCATTCGAGTCAGATGACAATGTCGAGGAACCTGAGGAACGGAGTATTAACAATCCAACTGAACCTCCAAAAGAACACAGTACGCCTTTTATCTGCTTCTGTTTCTGGCATACTAAAATATCCCTTAGTCAGCGACTTATGCCACTTTATCCTTGCTTTAGGGCCTAATTTGAAATGGTTTAACTGAGTGGTTTGGCACATCAATGAGTTCACTTTCAGTTCTGCTGTTTAGTCTATTTTATTAAGAAACCTGTTATCTTTCAGCTCCGTTGTTTTCTTGTGAATATTTCTGTAATATTGAGTGAAAAACAATCAGGGTAAAACAATTAGAGTATGAATAATATGCGTGCAGTCCTAGATTTTGTGAGTTGTTTTTCGGATCATAATAACCCTTTCATTTGAAAACAATAGGTTTTTTAATGTAGTTTCGCGATGGGCTAATTTAGCGTATTAAAATATTGTAACAACCCCTTCTAATTCTACTTGTGTTTCAGCCTGTTTTTTCTTGTTGTATTCTGATTTGGAGTTTCATGTTTTCTGTTTTCTTCCAATTTACATGTTTGCATTGGAAAGATCAAAGACGCATTTTTATAGGAAATCGTGTCAATCTTGTAATGAGCAACTGAACATGACTTCTTTACTTATACTAAGTTGACACTTTTATAAGTAAGACAGCGTATGGTTATCCAAGTTGTATTTTTTGTACACAGCCATATCCGCTTACAACTTGCATTAGGCTTATTTGTTCTGATTTTACAAAATTCGTAGTTTTGGATTCCGGCACTTGGATATGGCTTATTTTTTGCAGTCTCTCAGTCTGAGATACATTCAGAAAAAATTCATCCAGACCTTGAAAATGTCAAGATTCATCTAACCTATTTAATAATGACATTTTTCAATAAAAATATTTTGATTCTACTAGGGCGCTTCCTTTTGTGTGCTTTGCTTTTATATTTGCAGGCGCTAAACAGCGCTCCCATCGTCATGATCGAAAATCCTCCAACAATCAGCATAGGCCTACGAGACCATCTGGGGTGCAGCAAAGACGCACTAGACAGTCTCGCAAGTCAGCCCCTAAATTAAAACTAGGAAACCCGAGCGAATTTGGCCTCGAAGCATGGGAAATCAGCCAGAACCTAATCGCCCAACTTCGGAGTGAGAATGATCAATTAAAGAGGGAGCTAAAGAATTGTAGGGTGGAGCTTAAGACGGTGGAACGTCAGTGCAAAGTGCAGAGTGCTAGACTCACCAAGGTATGATTTTTATGTCTGAGCAATAACGCCTATGACATTTGCTAATATTATCTTAGAAGGATAAACCCGATTTTAAATTTGTTACATAAAGATCTCACCATTAGCCTTAATTCCTTCTTAATTCTACTTGATGTTTTAAAAATTTTACGTTTTCGTCCTTGAAACATCATATTAACCCTTTAATTTTCGATTCGTAGTAATTATAACCCTTCGTCAAGCAATAGACCTCATTATATTGGTGAAATGAATAACTTAAAGTTACGTTTAATCCCTTGTGTTGGCGTAACCATTTATCACGATTCGAGAAATAGAGTAGTGAAAGTGATTGGCGACTTCGTAAGGCTTCAATTTTTTGTACTTCCACTTGCCTGCTACATGTTTTGATTGCACCATGATGGTGAAAGTTGACCATGATTAAAAGCGGTATTTGGGAATCATTGTTTCCACATTGACTGAATCTGAAATTTTCATGGAAATTCTCATTCCTTAGGTAGTTGGACGCGAGGCGGACATGCCAGGTGTCATTGACCGTCTGACGGCAGAAGTGCGCTCGCTGCAAATTCAGTTACGTCGAAAACATGAGCAGGCCGAAACTGCAGAGAAGAAAGCGTCCGAAATGGAACACCGACTGCTGCCTCTCCTAGACAGGAGAGAACATAAGACGACGGGATCTTCTGTTAGTGGTGACCAGCAGATGTCGGGAGCAGCTAGTGACGAGGCCGGTAAACACACACAAGCGTTGGAATCTCTTCAAGCTATTCTTGAAGAAGAACGGCAGAGCCACAGGGTAGGGAGCACTTTGCATATGAATATTCAATTGATCAGTGGTAATGAAATTCCTCCTGGTTACTTCAGCTGATAATATGAAATGTGAAAATAATCCTGCTTTCCTGTGATCATACCTATATCACTAAGAGGACATTTCATTTTGCTTTTAGGAGCTGCAGAGAAAAATGGAACTTATGGAACGATGTCATCGATCAGAACAAGGTGCAGCTAACGATCAAATACGAAAGCTGCGAAAGCTCTCAAAAACTCTGCAATCACAGCTGGACACTGTAACACAAAATTTGCAGGTCAGACTACATCATTACTAGAAAAATATCATAGCACAGATCATATTGATTGCGGATGTTGCTTGTAGACCTAAACTGCGCTTCTCCTCAATATCCAGATATTTCAAACATTAGGACTCAACATAATCTGTGAAACGAAGTACGCATTCAGTGTCGCCTAGTAATACGATCCTCAAAACCTTACGCTTTGGCGAAGTATGTAGAGGGTTTGAAAAATTTGCCTCTACGGCTTATTGACTAAAATACTGTCATTCTTTCTCCAGTTTTGTTATCGTTGTTTGTAAACTGAAAGCACGAATTAAAAGCACTTGTTTAATTCAAACATTTTTTATTTGATGAAGGCTATTTTGAAAAATACGATATCGTAAAGATAAATCAAGACCGGTTTTACTCCCCATACCTTTGACCTCGGATGCTATAAGCCACGAACTTTTCTCATTCTGTTTGAAGGAAAAAACCAAATTGCTGGAGTTGCAGAACATCTACAGCCAACGCCTACCAAAATCTGCACTGACACATAGTTCAGTGCCGCCAACCGAAGGCATCAACTCCTACAATTCTGACCTTGGTATCCATCTAGACCGGAACGGGGTTGAATCCAGAATGCCCCTGGCTCAATTCTCGGCTCATGTCGCACCAGAACGCTGCCCTTGTGCCGAACGTTGCTCCGAAAACCACGCTGAAGGGGTGGGCAGAGGTTGCTTTGCTGTTTTCCTGAATGATATTTTGAACGTCAGAGGCACTGACGTCTTTCATGCAAGCATGCTGAGTGTGTATTTTCGAAATTTGCGTGATCTGGCAAGGCACCAAAAAGCTTACCCTTGAAAGAGATTTCTCGACATGCATTGCTTGAAATTGTTATCAAGCGTGGTTGATTATGTCACGCGCAAAATTTACCTTCTCTCAAAAGTTAATCGAAATACTTTCATTGTCTCAGGCCTAAATCATAACACACTGAGTAATTCACTTGAATTTGCGTTGAACTGAAGCCACTTACAACTATCAGAAGTGCTACTTACAAGACATTCAGCATGGGATACTGTTAAATTTTACAGTGGTCTATTTGTACAAGTGTTCATCTGCAAACTAATTGGTCTCCATTGTTTTTTGGTCATTTACTTACAAAAGGATTTTGGTCTTAACTTGTGAAAAGTTCCAAGCCGCATTATTAACCATTTCAAGATCACTTGAACAGCCACCGTATTTTGAGACTAAATTAACTACTTAACCATTAGCTAACTTACAGCCAGGCTAAAAGTCGCACTGTTGATCTGTTACCACTTTTTTAGCAGTTCGCACAAGTGTCTTAAGGTTCATACCTGATAGATGATCACACGATCGCGTTAAGGAGAGGTGCGACCAGAGTGTAATTGTGAAGTGATATTTCATTATTTGGCTTTTGATTATTTTTGAATCTGCTGTGGGCCTCAGCATGTGGCCCTGAACCACGCTGGGGCCACTGAGTTAACCCTGGCCCGATTATGCTTCCCTGCTACCCGCGATGAAGGAAAAAACCAGAGAGGAGGCGGACACAGCCATTTACTTCAGAGTTCGACCAAGTTGGTGTCTTTGCGTCGTGTGTGGCGGTTGAGTATGAATTTTTGGCCTAGATGTGTGAGTCATAGACGGGTTAACATCGTGAATAAGTCAAGATAGTCGTCAGCACTAATTAGAGGGATTTGAAGATCTGCGCGGCTGGCGATATGCTACAAAACGAACGACCCTGTGTCGGAGTCTGGGGTGACCGGATCAACTATTTGAATTAACGTGTATCACAACAAATCTACCCAGGCCGTTTATGTCTAGAGCTTGGGCCAAGATCCACACGAAAAGAAGAGTCCAATAATCAAATACATTCACAAACGATTGCCTCTAATTTTCGCCTACAAAGTAAAAGACAACTGAAATATGACTAGTAATTTCAAAATCACGGGCTTGTTGTTGATTACTGCACTTGTTTGTTACTTCATCTTTCTTTCTTAAGGCAATATACAAACTAAGTAGTTAAGATTTCCACAATTATAATCGCTGTTTCCCTTTTCGAAATGCGGCTCATTCTGTGGCTGACAGGGACTGCTATACCACAGTGCGCAAACAATACTCAACCGATATTGTGAGTGGGGTTAGTTTGACATCGAGGTCCAAGGGGCTCCAGTTGACCCAAATATATTTTTGACATGCGTAAACATCACTCAAATTTATTTGAATTTTAAGGCTCTTAGACGGTCTTACAAAGACCGCCGCACAGACATGACTTACTCTGAGGAATTGGAGGGCCGTTGTGGTAGAGAGAAGCATCGCCAACCACGCTATGGCAGTAATACAATCTCCAACATGGTGGCCAAAATTAAAGACAGCAAAAGAAGCGGCCTAAGTAGTCTCTTCAGCCGGTCCTGTGCAGCCATTTCCACCAATACATGGGGTGTTAGTGCAAAAAACAAGGAGTCACCACTGAATCACAGCAGAAAAAAGAAACCAATGGAAGTGGCTAAATCGACAGACCCCATGACGAGCGGTAGAACCCGTGACAGCGCACACAAGCGGCAGATTATCCTGTCAAAAAATGCTGAAATCGCTGCTTCCTTGGTGAGTTTGAGCTTCCGCCTTGTACTTTTTCGCTCATACAGTACGAGTGTTGTGAGAATTAGGTTTACTAGGTCCCTGGCCCTATCCGATTGTATTCACAAGCATATTTGGTGACTGCTACTTTTGACCATACTGGCTTTCTCCTCAGTTTTTCTGATATTAATAATGCTCCGAGATGCCTGCGTCCCTGCAAAATTCTGCATCAATTTGTTAAGTTAGGCTGTCAGTGTGTGGCTTTGGTTCGTGAATCAAACTCTCTCGAATCTAGGGTCAGCCAATCCCAATCCCAGCAAGGAGACAGTGCTTGGCCAAAATCTCCGGCGGCGCTGCGAAGCAAGGCGCCAGTTCTCCCGAAAGTGATCGCGATGTAAGCAAAATGGGACCTGCAGACAGTGACGACGAAAGGCTCTCAGACCTACAGGACTGCTTCAATGTACGCTCTCTTGCTTACTTCATGTGTGCTCTAATTTCACTTTCTTGTACCCCAGTTCGCTCACAGTTATTGACCGAATGCACTATTGTTGCTTTACAACTAAATCCTGATTTCGTAATTACCAGCACGCCAAACCTTCACAAACCAAAATGGCTAGGCATGCACCAGATTCGTGTAGCACGAAAAAACGACATTTTTAAAGGACCCGCTGGGAATGCGATACGGCATTGATTTGTTGTCTCCCGATGATGACAAGTGACTGATCTGATTCGTAGATTTCGAAAATTTTCTAGTCAGACACCGGAGGTTGTGGTTGACAACATCAGTTTGCAGTTAAATGACATCTTTGGGCTCTCCAACATGAAAAAAGCAGACTACGAGAGCTTCTTCAGCCTTGTCGTCTTCTCCGCATTACACCCAACCCAGGGTCTAAGCACTTAAGTCAACCCATTGGAGACAGACTCTTTTTATTTGACTTTTCAATCTAATACTTACAAAACCTGGCTCTGAGTGCGAATCTTAATTCTGAAGTGAGAACAGAGCCAATAGAAGAGATTTCGCTATCACAAGCAGCAAATTCTTTGACAATTCTCAATGACTTGATCATGCTAATAGGTCGGGATGTATGACTTGCCGCAGCGGCTTAAGAATTACGAGCTTCTATCGACTAGTCTTGGAATCCAACAAAAACTGATTTCTTTAAAGCATGGGCACACTCCAATATCCCGGGACGAATAAAATGGAGCTGAAGACTGCGCCTAGTTTGAAGCAACATTTGTGTAGATCCAGATAAGAAAAATGTAATTTTGGGATGCGTACGCTAAAACAGACATAACACAGTCTCTTGGAAGTGGATTTACGGTAATCCTTTGGAAACATTATGTTTTTGAATGAAAACTCGGTGGCAAGTTTAAATGCGCAGGAGGTTCTTCATAGTTTCTTGCGTCATGAATTATCCTAATAATGCACAACACCGGCTCAGGTTCATCCTAGTCAGGAGTGTTTTAATAGCAGAATCTCATCCTGAATTGCATCGGATTCGCCAAGTATGCTCGGTGGTCATCGTCATGCACGGACCTACGGTTCAGCGAGGACTAACTACTGTACTCGTAAACCGTTTAATTACTCGATATGTAGAGGGCGTTGCAAAAATTAAATTGTAATTTACTCTTGGGTAGGAAACCTATTTGTCCCATTGTGTTTTTAGACAACGGACTTTGTCCTTTCAAGCATAACCGGCGAGATAATTATGGAGGGTACGGTTAATTTCGGAATGCGGTTGCTTTAACTGTCATAAAGGAATTTAAAACCAGGGCAGTTTTAGGGAGTTCAAAGATGCACACGCACAGTGTACCAAAAAAAATAAAATTTATTATCCCCACCTTTACAGCCCAGAAGTTTATTTGGTATGTTTTATTTACTGGTTAACGTTTGCAGTTTAACGAGTTTCGTACTGGGATGACGTTGGTTTTGTCCACAATAAGAATAACTGCTACGGAACACCGTTACGATCCAAATTCAGATGAGATCGTTGAGGTTTTTCACACAAAACGGTCAACTCCAGTTCTATAAAAATGGTGTTTGTGTTCTCCTTTGCTCGAGATTAACCAAGATTAGAAAGTAGCCGTTTTTTAATGTTTTTTGGGTTTATTTATTGCAAATGAGTTTTTATTCCATCTTGAATTGGTACTAATTTCTGTTTCAGACTCAACAGAAAAAGGACAATCCTTCAAGTGAGATAATTTTCAAGCATAGACAAAAATAGTTTAAAAAAATTCAACAAAATGTTTTGTTTACCGATTTGAGCATGCTAGGCTTTTCGAACATGGATTTAACACTTTTGGTAAACCAGTGGGTTGCTTATGAATCAGAGAAATTTTCTTCGAATAAACGCCTCCATGCATATTAATGGAGATCTTGCACAGACCAAACTGACCCCATTGTGCCTTGCTCGTGCTTCTGAAAAAAATGCTTGATTTTGGCATGCATTGTAACTCTATGCAGAGACGTCTGAATTTACTCGGACTTCGTGTCAACACCAAATTTAGGCGGAGGAGAACGAAGGTTTACCAGGCCATTGACGGAATCTCTTGCCACAAACAACTAACAACATGATATCGGAAAATCACTGTTCCCATCTTGAGGTCGAAAGTAGTGAATAATCTAAAAAAATGTTTCAAAGTATTGCAAGTAAAGTTATTTTCTCCGTGTGATATTTGAGCACATCTTGTATTATATTTGAGGACCATCCATGAAACATTGGAGCTGTGTGAAACCATGCTCGAAAATCGAGCGCCAAAATCCAACTTCCAGGTGGAAGAGGATCGTGGAGAAACGAACCAGGCCATTGACTCTGAAGAGCACAAACAGGGTAAACAGGCAGCACTGTCGTCCACCCCGCAAAAATGTCCCCCTAGATGCCCCGACAGCGAACTAGAACAAATGAACGGTCAGACTGATCGAGATCCCTCCCAGCCAGAATTACCAGGAGAGGCCGTGAAGGAGGTCAAACCTGAAAGGCAGAATATGTAAGCATTTCTGTATTCTTGAAATAATTTTACAAGTGATTATTATTATTAGCAGTAATATTTTTGGTTTTCCAATTAGTTAGACCATGTATAATTCCGTCATCTTTATTCTCGATCATGAGTGCGGAGAATATGCAGCATCGGTTGCATAAAATGTAGAAATCGCAATACACCTATCATTCGTTTTAGTTACTCATTCTATTTATTGCCACCAGTCCGTAAACAGCATTTTGAACTGTACTAAGCTATGCAGATTAATGCAGTCATCATTTAGATGTTGGAGGATTCTTTTAAATTTAATTGAACTATTACCATCAGATGGAAATAAAGCTTGCGCTTTACAGGACAAAAGCATAAATTGGGCTTGAAACTCGGTTATTCAGTCGTATTTCTGCTTATAGGTTTGAGTTGTGCAAGGAGAAACGTCTTTGGGAGGACCTTTTCGGTAACCGGCCTACTGAGCTAGATGACATACTGGGTTTATCGAAGTCGCAATATTTGCCTGTAAGTGCCACGCACTGAAATCTATTTAAAACTACTAAACTGGCAATTAGTGTTGACGAATTCACGTGATAAATATCCGTAAAGCCTTAGTAAGTAATTGTACCGACAACTTTGAAGGTGTCCATTTCGATCAACTGGTGATGTGTTATCGTAAAATGGCCCACTTCAAATGAACGCTGGCATCTATATTTGAGGCTGAGAACAAGTAAGCACACCAATTATCGAAATCCTCGAAATCCTGGTTATCATTACGTTTTCATGTTTACTTGGATTTGCTTGGATTGAATTTTTAGCCAGCTAAACATTGGCATACCCCCAGGCCAATTCCAGTTAGCTAAGATACTGACATATTTCATACTTAGCCCCTTGTGTTCCATGCTGCAATTGGACCTTGTAAAAGTGGTCTTAACTTGCCACCACCACACATTTTGTACGCTTGATATGACTGCTACAGAAAGTGCACAGTCGACGCACAATATGCTTAGAAACTTGTAGGTATCGTACCAAAAGAACCCATTCTTCAGTTGTTAGTTTAGTGAAAAGAACAGACGTGTATTGTGTTTTTGATAGTCCTCCGCTTCCCCCGTCAGTGGCATCAACAATAGCACAGACGATAGAAAAACCACAGCGATTGGGGCTATCGGTGGTATGAAAACAGTGGTGGACCTTCAAGGTGGGTCCAGGTACCCCCCGGTTCCCCTTGATGAGGTCAGCCACTGCTTGAAGGAGACTGCAGGCAACACGCGACGTCATGGAGTTATCCGCAACCCACTGGAAAATCTGGAAATGGAAGAAGTCCAGCTGTAGCCCGCATTCACTCCTCACTGCCAACAACATCGAAACCCTCACATTCCTCGTGATGTTAGTGCTGCCTTTGGTATGTTTAATTCACCGTGTAATTTATATCCACAATAGTAAATAAACTAGACTAAGCAAAGTCTTTGCAATGCGCTGCTTAGTAACTCGCCTATTGGCACACGAGCGGGTCTACGCAGGTCGAGTGGCTCAGCTCAAACACGCTGTCTCGTGGTTTTAACAAACAAGGACTTCCAAATTCTCCTTGCCGTAGTTTGAGAAACTTAAGACTACAACTATGGCGCTACAGTTATTTATTTACCAATTTTCCAAACTGCGGTGAAACTCATGAAGCAAATTTGCGTCCTGTGGAAATGTGACAATATGCCGCTTTCTTGTAAACTTCGGATCTTACAGATTTATAAGGGATTGGCTTTAAACTATTATACTGCTGAGAAACTAGTTCCAGACATTCAGAACACTGCGATGCGTTTTTCAGCGTGGTTTACGCGTTTGTCCTTCAATGTATCAGCAGCTGGTCAGCTAGGTGTCAGTCAGGTTTGCCTACATTTCACTACGACAGAGCCATATCGTGAGCTACGACACATGGACAAATGTAAGCATGCAGTTACTGGAACAAACGACGTTGTGATCATGAAACCTATCATGAATTTTAAACAAGCGTTTAGAAAAAAATAAGCTTGCTTGCAGCACATGTGCACGGTAATAGGAATGAAGAATTTACTATTTCGGGTCGGCCCAAGTGGAAATACCTCAATGTTAACAGCTGCATATTTCAGTGGCTAATTCAATTTGTTGTCAATCCATATATGAACTGATTTCCAAGGTTGTCACTCTATGATGACAGCGTTTACAGTCGATTCATGTAAAATTAGAACTGCTTCATTGGGTTGCGAGATCCTTGTTTCCCCTCCCACGTTTTGTATAACATAATTTGGTTATTTGCTTAATACGAAATATGAATTGATAAAACTAGTAAATCAGCATGTGGAAAACAAATTTCTGGGCTTGAATTCTGGCATGCAGAGGTTATAAATGAACCCAAACCAAGGCGTATCAGGGACAAAATAGACCCTCAACCCCCTCTTTTCGATCAGTGTGGCTTGTGCACGAGATCCAGAATCAGCGAATCCCTTTGTAGTGTGGAAACAGCCTCAGCACACACCCCTAATCCAACAACCACTCTTGCTACCTCTTCGGCTGTACCCGATAATTGGGAATAGAGACCGTACCTGACGTCATCGTATTAAGGAAACGATGGCACGTCGACGCCATGACTCCGCCTAACGGACGCTTGGTATAAGAACAATACTTTACAAGCCTTGATCCTCTCGCACGTCACTCAATCCGAAGTCAGATTAATCAATCTGATGAGACATGAGGTGGAATCAATTATACGAACAGAGCAACCGATTTGGTAATTTATAGCATCTTACCAGCGCCCTTACTGGACGTTTCCAAAGTACAATTCCCTAGTTTGCCGTCTGTAAACTGTAGACTTGCTCCGCCAAAAACCGAAGAGCCAAAGTACCAGACAAATCGGCCGGAATGATGCACAACACTAGCCTGCGACCCAAACCATTCTACGATAGCCTTGTACGCTGAAGGCTTTGGCGCTTACCAAGACCCCAACATTAATAAGATAAACAGAACCTACATGCGTGTAGCAGACCAACAATTCACCTATTCGATCTCACATTTTAACCAGAAATTTACTTGGTGGATGCGTGTATCCAGGTCCTGCATTTGTGTGTGTACATGACTGAGAGGACGCGCCGAGGGTGGAACAATTAACGTCAGAGAGGGGTTGAAGAGACGGGTGACGCTTGCGCATGTATCTTTAGCGTACTGTGTTTATATGAAAGCTAAAAAGAGGTGGGGAATGAGGAGGCAGATACATACGAAGTAAACGATTGGAAGAAGAATAGAGTGATGGATGAAGGATCGGGAGAAAGGACAGCCAACAACGACGCGACTCTCGCGCAGAGTATATTTGCGCACTCACAATTGGCGAAAGGAAGGAGTGAGGGGAGAGAGTTATTAGAGGAAGTAGTCCGGAGTGCGACGGGATACGTGTGGCTCTCCGCGTCTAGGTGCTGGATCAAACTGGAGGCTAAAAATCAAGGATATCTCGTTGAGCGTTTGGTACAAGCGCCCCTGAGCGTACGAATAACATGAATAACCGACAAGTCTGCAGACGCACGTCAAAGTAAACCTACAGCAAGGCTATTTGAGTTTTAAGAACAGAAGCTTTTCTGAGACAAGCACTCAATTTGGCACCAAGTTTGCTCCTCTTACAATTTTGATACACAAATGGTCCCAAAATCCCCACTTTTAATTTTAGGACAGAAACACTTTTTTGTAGTCAGCGAGTCGCAAGTCAGATTTGTAAGCTAATAATCTGAAGGTGACACAGAAGGTGAGTCACAAGAATGAAGTCACCAAAAGTACTCGGGCACGAACGGTTTAAAAGATTTCTTGAATATTTTAAAGCACTCACAACTCCATGCGAGTGACTAAAAGAAAACCGCTTAAGGAATATAACGCAGTTGATTACAAGAAGAGATTAGTTATTGGTTTCTGACAAGAATATGATGTAACACACTAACCAAAAGCCCTTGTCCGTTTTGAATGTGAAGACAAAATGGGAATAAATACATAGGATTTCCCGTAGTGAAAGTATCGCGAAAACTATTGAGTCAGCATTGTTTTATAAACTAAAATGTGTAGAGCTGGATTTGAAAAACTACGGTAAGACATAACCGCTTTTTATTCAGCCGTGACGCGATAATGACTGATAATTCATTAAAATACTTGGTAGTGGCTCCGGGAAGCAAATATAACTCAGAAAGCTGCCCAGTCAGTGTCAGTCGGTCTAACGAAAAAAAAAATGTTTGTCTAACCATCCACTATGACAACTAATTGATTTGTTACAGTAAATGCATTCTGCCATATGGCATTCATAAATTATTGGAATGAAAAAGTATTACAAAGTATCACATACTGCTACGAAAAAAACAATTTTGTCAAAATCATCACAAGAGATGTTGTAACCTGTCTTCGAGTGAATGAAAAGTTTGGTCAAAATATGAGTACGTGAACAAAACGTCTAAAAAGTCTAACATTGGTCAATTATAAAATGTAGAATTACGATATTACTCACAAGGTGTACTTGAGATTGTCGTCAAGCTCCATTATGGCCGCCTGGTTACCACATCGATAGCAGTAGTTGGGGGCGCTGAAAATAGTGACGACATTTCGTTCGTGGCACCAGTTGAAGCCTTCCATAACCAGCTGGTGGGCACGGCTGATTAAGGATAGGCTGTTGCTGTGATTAAATTGTTCCGAAATATCCTGCCCGAAGGTGTAACCGGCACCGCGAGGACTGATACCCCAACCACCTCTATCGTCGGGGTCCGACCACAAAAGATCGCACATTGGCCCCTTAAAATAACATTAATTTATTTCGACATAAATATGTAAGCTTTTGGGGATATCGTGAAAATCAGGTAAACCGCCCGATGATGACTACAAATGGGCGTAAACAGCATATAGAAATTGGAGACAACAAATACGACGAAGCCAACACGTATATGGTAATTCTATTCCCGAGCACTCGGTTGTGATCAGTGAGCAATAGGGTACAACTTACACAAACAATCGACGCAGGAAAATTTTATAAATCCATCACAGATAACCAATTAAAAAACCTACTTGACAGGACGGTAAATACAATGCCTTTCACTGATTTTAAAATCCTCTAGATTACCTCCCCATAGGTGGCTACTGGCAAGACATTTCGACCGGAAATATTCAATTACAATCAAAACCTGTACATAAACCTATTCTAGTAGTGCAAAAGCCTAGGAGTGGAAGAAACTTGGCCGAACCCTATAAACAGGTTCTAGGATGTTGGCATTATTAACAGGGCTATTTATAAAGCCCTTGGTTGAAATAGCGATTCGCCCCTCCGGAAAGTCATGCAGAATTAACTAGTAACCACAAATTTGCCCCTCTTAAACCAGCTTTTAAGAGGACTATATCACTCCTGTCTAATATTCGACACCTGTTAGCATGAATTCACAGCCTAGCGACGACGGCGTGGACATCGCAATATATTGCTAGAAAAATCTGGCGTTTCTTGAGAACTTGTGGAGTAGGAGAAGGCAAAACACAGGACAGGTGCAAAGGCAACGTCGGTTTCCCATTAAGTCTTGGTCGTCATTGAAACGTCGTTCATTAGAATTTAAGACGTCATATTAATTGTTGCAAATCAATTTCAATCTCTTAACAGTTTTTTTTTCAATAAAAAGTGAACTCGACCTGTGCACCAACCTAATATAAGATGGCCGCCAGGCATAAAGAGGAGTCCGAAGCACGTAGACACATGTGCAAATAAACCAAGAAATCGAATATCAATTAAAAAGAATGGCCCTCTGTATTAATGAGGCGCGATCGGTGCTGAAATGTAGAGTTGCACCTGAATCAATCAAGCTATAATAAACAATGTTTTGAGATAAGTAAAAAGTGGCAGTTGCAGCCATCGAAATAATGACAGGAATCTGTCGTTTCACCTAAACTTAACTCTGAAGGCATCACGCATAACCCATCGTTGGAAGACCCCATGATTAGACCAAATTAAAAGTGTAGCACAGTACTTACCTCGTGAGGAACCTCCTGGATGCGATCTAGAGCTCGAATATGATCCAGGGTATCAATTGATGGTGAGAGTCCACCATGTAAACAAAATATCTGAATTTATGGTAATAAAATCTTTTAATTACTGAATTATCAACCAAGGCTGTGAGAGGAAGATAATCGAAAAGGTCAGTAAAATACTTCCACACATTAGAATTGCCATATTTTCGCAGACACTCATCATAGAATCCATACACTTGAGTAATCTGTCTGCTTTCATGATTCCCTCGGAGAACAGTGATCCGGTCGCGAAAACGAACCTTAATGTAATTATATAGATATTGACACATACTTTAAGAGCAACAAGAAGTGTGACAGTTTCTACCGAGCAATAACCCCGATCGACATAGTCGCCCATAAACAAATAATTAGTATCCGGAGCTTTTCCACCGATCCGAAATAACTCCATCATATCATGGAATTGACCATGAACGTCACCACAAACGGTAACCGGGCTAGAGACATTTTGTACATTGGATTCTTTAGTCAGGATTTCTTTAGCCTGGAAAATGAAGGCAGAAAGCAACAGCTTACTTTATCGCACAGTGATTTAACATGCGCTTCCGATAACTGTTGGCAGTTATACAGCTGCTCGATCCACGCATCCAGTTCCTTTACCTCCGACCGACTATCTCCAGTCATTTTAGTCGCAAAAAGGCGACGTTCAAGAAAAATTCAAATACTGCGGTGTAAGATTTTAAAGAAACATAAACAAAACAACGGTCCCAGTTTGC